GCAAGAGTAGAATTAAATCTGGTCGAAACGTCTTCCAGCTCCTGTTCTTTCTCTTCCAAATCAGCAACAGTAGAATTCAGCCTGTTCGATACATCTTTTAGCTCCTGTTCTTTCTCGTCTTTATCAGCAAGAGTAGAATTCAGCCTGTTCGATACATCTTCTAGCTCCTGTTCTCTTCCTACTTTATCAGCAAGAGTAGAATTCAGCCTGTTCGATACATCTTTTAGCTCTTGTTCTTTCTCTTCTTTATCAGCAAGAGTAGAATTCAGCCTGTTCGATACGTCTTCTAGCTCCTGTTCTTTCTCTACTTTATCCGCCTGGCACTCCTTTAACTCCGCTAGTGTGGAATCCAGTGTGCTGGAGATGTCTTTCAGCTTTTTGTTAAGCCTTTGCTCAAACCCCTCAAGTAAATAATATGTCACATATGTACTGCACTCCTTTAACTCCGCTAGTGTAGAAACCAGTGTATTGGTGTCTTTAAGGCACTTCGTTAAAATATCAAAGTCGGTTACTGTTCCGCTCCTCCCAAGATCTACAAGATCTTCCCATTTAATGATTCTATAATGCTCGTTCTTATCTTCAGCTGCAATATTTGAACACATCCCTTGCTGTGCCATACTGGCTATGTCACTGGCAGAGAGCTCTTTTGCATAGAAGTTGAGATACGCCATCTCACCACCGAACTTCCAACCACTACTACCTCCAGCCCAGTTTCCGAGTGTCAATGCTCCAGTTGGTCTCATCAACCTACCTAATGCTGTTTGCTGAGTCCCTATTTCTACTCCATTTAGGTAGACGCGGTGATCTCTTGTTGAGCTACCCCAGGTAACACATTGGTGAAACCACGTGCCTTTAGCCACGGACATCTTGCTCTGCAGCTGCTGATGTCCCGCAAAGATACCTATATAACTTCCATCAGCCGTCATTGTCAGCTCATCCCAGGGTGCTTTTATGTGGAAGACTGGACGATATGTTGCTGACCCCAAGTCTCTCACCCACGCACAAGCCGAGACAGCATTAAGGAATGGACTCCAATCTGGTGTGAACTGGACATAACTATTGCCATCATCAGCGAACTTTAGAACTTTAAACCTATTTAAGAAACTTCCTGTGGTCCCAAGAGATGACCCGATCAACAGAGTTACGATGCTCAGAAACAAGAACATTGCCCAGAAATGGCTAAAAATTGTTAATGGTACGTTGGAAATGTTAGGTTTGAGAGAACTCCGTCCACGTTACTGAGCCCTATGAAGTGACCCTGAATTTCATTAAATATGCCTTAAGGTATTTACAGATAAGAACATGTCACCCCTGAAGTCTTAACATTACTAGTTTATGGACGGAAAGAAAAGAGAACATTTAAAATTTACCTATGGGTTATTACAGATAAGAATATAACCTATAAATCCTGAAGGCTGAATATTACTAGTTTATTGACGGAAGGAAGCAAGAAAATTGAAAATAACAACCTTCAATGGAAAATATTACTGTTACAGAATTATATTCTTTATTTCGTATAATCATGTAATTATAGATAAGAACATATTATCAACCTGTGTTAACCCTAAAGATTACTAGTGCATTGCTGAAGGGAGGGAGAACATTGAAAATGGTTCAGAAAAATTCCTAATCTCCGTTTTATTCCTAATTTTTCCGTTTTAAACCGGTTTGACGAGATATGTTGCAGGTTCGAGCCCTACAGCAGCTACACCTCCAGAACACGTGACATCGCATTTTGGCTCCCTGCCAACTTTGTGGAAAACGACTTCTACGATTTTGTTCGAGACAAGTTGCCGAGCGACTCGGTGGAAGATATAAAACTGATCGACGACTTTACAAAGGAAGGTCGCATCAGTCATTGTTATAGACTAATCTATAGGTAGGTTACTGGTTTAGGGTTTTTGTTCTGGGGGATATCTGTAAAACCTTCTTTATTTCACTTGAAGTTGATTGATGAGAGGAAAAGTGTAATATGAAAGTTAGTCTCCACAGTCCACAATGATATAATATTTCTTTGTTGGGGTCGGGTGTTCTGCTGGTTTGTCCTAATCGTCAACTGAAAATTGCAACCGTATTCTTAAAACTTAAACTAGCCCTCAAAAATATAACTTGTTCAAATTCTTTCAGGGCTTGGGATCGACACTTGACATCTGAAGAAGCTAATCATATACACGAGAACCTTGCAACTGAGGTGGTAAAGATAGGAGGGGTTGTTCGGTAGTGATCTGGATGTGGGACAGATTAGGAAGTGAAATTTCACATAATATATAACAAATCATGTACTCCATGTAAATTATATATTTTCTAAAGTGATCTTATTTTTTATGAGGTTACAAAGTTGTCACATTGTTACGTGATTGTGTTTATACTTCGCGGTTTTGGTTAAGATAATTTATGTTTCAAGTTTAATATTTAAAACTGTGAGCTTCAAGGAAGTCAATTGTGCTATTTAGATTGATATTTAGATTAAAAGTTAAACTTTTATCATAATGACTGGCTTTTTTTCATAGGATCTTGATTTGTTGTATTTACTATTTGATGGTTCACTAGTAATCTTGTTAGAGTATTAGGAGTGTGATAATTCGGATACGATATCTTGATACTGATACGGGCGAAGTTAATCCGGTCTGAACTGAAATTTACCCGGTCTGAAGTAGGGTGGAACTGACAGTTCACAAGCAGAACACAATAGGAGTCACCTATCTCACACAATAGGAGTCACACATGAGTCGGCTACTCATGACCAGTGTTTTGAAGCGAAGAGATGATTTCGGAACATTTAACCGTGAAGCGGTATGGAACGGTCCTAAATAATATCGTCACATAGTCTCATGCTGCTCCGAAAAGATACTAAATTTGTGACATGTGAATTATGATCTGGACACTAATTGCAAGTTTCGTCGGCCTGTAAATTTGATGAATTAACGTAGGACGGAAAGCTCTGCTGTTGCTGGGACTGCTGCGTGAGTGGTCCATGACAAGTATTAATGGTCTCGTGGTGAGGTTATGATCATGTGACTTGCCACGTCCGGAGTTCCTAAGTATCCAGGCTTCTCTCACCTCTTCATTTCTCACGATGTTTGTTTTGTGGTTCGCTATCTTGCTGACTGCTGATGCAGCAGGTCTGGTCGATCTCCAGGACATTATTGATTCCCATCTGGAAACAGCTGGAGGTGGTGTCTCTGCTGATATTGAAGGTAGGGTTAGATGCAGGGATATCACTGATATTGAGACACTCTGTGAACACAAGAAACAGTGCATGGACGTTATGCCCGATCTGCCAGATCTCTGCCGAAGTTTCAAGAGAGAGAAAACTGGCGTGGACGAGTTTGTTGAGATAATAGACATGCGCCGAAGTGAGACTCACATCATCTCCATGTTGTCTGATGTCATTCAGGGTTACGCTGATGCCAGTCCTCCTCTCATCATTCAGGGACCTAAAAACTTGACAGTCACTCCGGGATCTCAATACCAGCTGGAGTGCAAAGCTGAGGGAGCTCCGACACCTAAACTCACTATCACCAGGTTGGAGGAAGCAAGTTTGAATAGAGTCAAATCAAAGAAGAACAAGCTTGATGTTCAAATGTCAGCGGCTCACGTGATCCACAAGAATGAAAGGGTCCAGATCCAGGATGAGGGATGGTACAGATGTGTAGCTGCCAACAATCGCGGGGTTGTCTTTGCAGACGCTTACCTCCGGGTCTATGATCTCTGTGGAGATATCACGTGCACAGGGGGTAAGATCTGCGTGCCTGATAACGAAGCTGCCACTGCATCCTGCGTCTGTCCAGAGTGCGTGGATCCGAGCTACGACCCGCTCTGTGGAAGTGACTGTGTCACTCACTTCAACTTCTGTCAGCTTGAGCTCAAAAACTGTCTTTATGGGACCAGCTACACCAGGTTTCTTGATTCTAGATTCTGCCCTGATTTCACACCTCCTGAGTTTACTGTGACTCCACCAAGAACGCTCGCCGTGACGGAAGGAAAAGCTTTCACTTTAACCTGTAAAGCAGCTCCTGCTGGAAGGAGCCCAGGACCTCAACCTATCATCTCCTGGTATTTGGCGGACTACGAAGCTCCAACCAATGAGGATCCCACGCTTTATGAACCTGACTATGGACAAAAACTTGGAGACGGGGAAACAATCAAG